TGTGTGTGTGTGTGTGTGTGTGTGTGTTTCTCACCCACGGCTCCGTTCAGGTTCTGGAAGATTCTGGAGCGATGATCCAGAGTCATGTTGTACTTAGTCTGAAAAACATTTCATCAGTTCATTTCTGTCAGACGTCCCCGTGTGTCAGGTCCCCCAGGTCCCCGTGTGTCAGGTCCCCGTGTGTGTCGTGTGTGTCAGGTCCCCGTGTGTGTCAGGTCCCCGTGTGTGTCAGGTCCCCGTGTGTGTCAGGTCCCCGTGTGTGTCAGGTCCCCAGGTCCCCGTGTGTGCCAGGTCCCCGTGTGTGTCAGGTCCCCGTGTGTGTCAGTGTCGTGTGTGTGTCCCGTCCGTGTCAGAGTGTGTGTGTGTGTCAGAGTGTGTCTCAGGGTGTGTCAGTGAGTGTGTGTGTCATGTGTCAGTGTGTCAGTGTGTCAGTGTGTGTCAGTGTGTGTCAGGTGGTGTGTGTCAGTGTGTCAGTGTGTCAGGGTGTGTCAGTGTGTGTCAGGTGTGTAGTGTGTGTGTCAGAGTGTGTCAGTGTGTCAGAGTGTGTCAGAGCTTGTCAGTGTGTGTCAGAGTGTGTCAGTGTGTCAGTGTGTGTCAGAGTGTGTCAGAGTGTGTCAGGGTGTGTCAGTGTGTGTCAGAGTGTGTCAGTGTGTGTCAGAGTGTGTCAGAGTGTGTCAGAGTGTGTCAGAGTGTGTCAGGTGCCCTCCCGCTCACCCTCTGGGCCTTGTCCAGGTAGATGCGTGTGTAGAAGAGCTGGTCGTCGTCGTTGTCTTTGTATTTCCATTGTTGGACCAAAGCGGCGAGCTCCGGCGCCACGCCCATGAACCCTGCACACACAAACATCAGATGCCCTCGCACACACGCCCATGAACCCTGCACACACAAACGTCAGATGCCCTCGCACACACGCCCATGAACCCTGCACACACAAACGTCAGATGCCCTCGCACACACGCCCATGAACCCTGCACACACAAACGTCAGATGCCCTCGCACACACGCCCATGAACCCTGCACACACAAACGTCAGATGCCCTCGCACACACGCCCATGAACCCTGCACACACAAACGTCAGATGCCCTCGCAACACACGCCATGAACCCTGCACACACAAACGTCAGATGCCCTCGCACACACGCCCATGAACCCTGCACACACAAACGTCAGATGCCCTCGCACACACGCCCATGAACCCTGAACACACAAACATTAGGTGCCCTCCCTGTGTGTGACAGGTGCTCTCCCTGTCTGTGACAGGTGCTCTCCCCGTGTGTGTCAGGTGTTCTCCCCGTGTGTGTCAGGTCCCTCCTCCCCGTGTGTGTCAGGTCCCTCCTCCCCGTGTGTGTCAGGTCCCTCCTCCCCGTGTGTGTCAGGTCCCTCCCCGTGTGCACTGACCTCCAGAGTTGAGGAAGCGTTTCCCAGAATGCACCTCTGGGTACTTGGAGGCGAGTCTCTGGTCGGGCCAGCAGAAACCCGAGTTCGAGCACGAAACACACACTTTGTGTCCGAGACACGAGAGACACGAGTTTATGAAGCAGACACTCCTACACGGCCACCGACGCACACGATCACGAGTTAGGAGACACGAGTTAGGAGACACGAGTTAGGAGACACGAGTTAGGAGACACGAGTTAGGAGACACGAGTTAGGAGACACGAGTTAAGGAGAGTTAGGAGACACGCACACAGACACGAGTTAGAGAGACACAGCACCAGACACAGACACGAGTTAGAGACACGAGTTAGGAGAGACACACACAGACACGAGTTAGACACAGAGACACACACAGACACGAGTTAGAGACACAGACACGACAGTTAGTTAGGAGACACACGAGTTAGGAGACACGAGTTAGGAGACACGAGTTAGGACGCACCAGACACGAGTTAGGACGCACCAGACACGAGTTAGGAGACACGAGTTAGGAGACACGAGTTACGAGTTAGGAGACACCAGACACGAGTTAGGAGACACCAGACACGAGTTAGGAGACACGAGTTAGGAGACACGAGTTAGGAGACACGAGTTAGGAGACACGAGTTAGAGAGACACAGGAGACACGAGTTAGGAGACAGGAGACACGAGTTAGGAGACACGGAGACACGAGTTAGGAGACACGAGTTAGGAGACACGAGTTAGGAGACACCAGACACGAGTTAGGAGACACGAGTTAGGAGACACCAGACACGAGTTAGGAGACACGAGTTAGGAGACACGAGTTAGGAGACACGAGTTAGGAGACACGAGACACGAGTTAGGAGACACGAGTTAGGAGACACCAGACACGAGTTAGGAGACACGAGACACGAGTTAGGAGACACGAGACACGAGTTAGGAGACACGAGTTAGGACGCACCAGACACGAGTTAGGACGCACCAGACACGAGTTAGGACGCACCAGACACGAGTTAGGAGACACGAGTTAGGAGACACGAGTTAGGAGACACGAGTTAGGAGACACGAGTTAGGACGCACCAGACACGAGTTAGGAGACACGAGTTAGGAGACACAGACACGAGTTAGAGACACGAGTTACGAGAGGAGACACGAGTTAGGAGACACGAGTTAGGAGACACGAGTTAGGAGACACGAGTTAGGAGACACGAGTTAGGAGACACGAGTTAGGACGCACCAGACACGAGTTAGGACGCACCAGACACGAGTTAGGACGCACCAGACACGAGTTAGGACGCACCAGACACGAGCTAGGACGCACCAGACACGAGCTAGGACGCACACAGACACACGAGACACGAGTTAGAGACGGAGCAGGAGACACGAGTTAGGAGACAGGAGACACGAGTTAGGAGTTAGGAGACACGAGTTAGGAGACACGAGTTAGGAGACACGAGTTAGGAGACACGAGTTAGGAGACACGAGTTAGGAGACACGAGTTAGGAGACACGAGTTAGGAGACACGAGTTAGGAGACACGAGTTAGGAGACACGAGTTAGGAGACACGAGACACGAGTTAGGAGACACGAGTTAGGAGACACGAGTTAGGAGACACGAGTTAGGAGACACGAGTTAGGAGACACGAGTTAGGAGACACGAGTTAGGAGACACGAGTTAGGAGACACGAGACATGAGTTAGGAGACACGAGTTAGGAGACACGAGTTAGGAGACACGAGACATGAGTTAGGAGACACGAGTTAGGAGACACGAGTTAGGAGACACGAGTTAGGAGACACGAGTTAGGAGACACGAGTTCGGGGGGACAGGGGCAGGTGGCAGGGCTTCACCTGTCGACAAACAGGATGACTTTGTGGGGGTCGTCTTTGTGTTTCAGCAGCTCCTTCTTCAACCAACGAACCTTCTGTCCTCCTCCCACCGTCTTCGCCACGTCTCCTCCTCTCCACTCCTCCCCCAGACCGAGAACCTGCGGAACAAACAAGAACAAACAAGAACACACCAGAACAAACAAGAACTCATGAGAACACAACCTGAGGAACACACAAGAACAAGGAACAAACAAGAACAAACAAGAACAAACAAGAACTCATGAGAACTCATGAGAACACAACCTGAGGAACAAACAAGAACAAACAAGAACAAACAAGAAACAAGAACTCATGAGAACACAACCTGAGGAACACACAAGAACACAAGAACAAACAAGAACACATGAGAACACAACCTGAGGAACAAACAAGAACAAACACAACAAGAACTCATGAGAACACAACCTGAGGAACAGAGAACCTGAGGAACACATGAGAGTCAGATGCCCTCCCCTCTCTTGAGCCCTGGCTCTGGAGCACCTCCTGTTCCTCATTCCACCTGTAAACCCCAAAACACTTTTGACCAAAGACAAACTCTTCAGTCTCCTGGACGTTGGCTCACGATCCCTCTCCCCAGACACTTCCTCCAGCTCCTCCAGTGGGACCTGAGGTGTTCCCAGTCCAGTCCAGAGACATCGTCCCACCAGGTGGGACATGAACACCTCCTGAGGGACACGTCCAGGAGACATCAGAACAGACGTCCTCCCCTCAGACGCTCCTCTCCACGTGGAGGAGCAGCGGCTCTACTCCGAGCTCCTCCTGTGTGACTGCCCTTGTCTCTTTAATTATGATTATGATGATTATGATGATTGTGATGATTGTGTATGATTTGATTGTGATGATGATTATGATTGTGATTATGATGATGTGATGATTGTGATGATTGTGATTATGATGATTGTGATGATGATGTGATGATTATGATTATGAAGGTGATGATTGTGATAGTGATGATTGTGATGATGATGGTGATGATTGTGATGATTGTGATGATGATTGTGATGATTGTGATGGTGATGATTGGTGATGATTGTGATGATTGTGATGATGATTGTGATTATGATTGTGATTATGAAGGTGATGATTGTGATGATTTGTGATGATTGTGATGATGATGATGTGATGATTGTGATGATTGTGATGATTATGATTGATGATTGTGATGATTATAATTGTGATGATTATAATTGTGATTATGATTGTGATGATTGTGATGATTATGATTGTGATGACTGTGTTGACTGTCGGTACCTTGACGGTGTAGTTGAACTGTGCGGCCGTTTTCATGAAACGTTTGAATCCGTCCGTCTCCTCCGTGGCTGCAGTGATCACCAACAGGTCCTCTACACACAAAACACACACACACACAACACACACACACACACACACACACACACACACACACACACACACACACACACACACACACACACACACACACACACACACACACACACACAAAACACACAGACAGACATGACACAGGGTTAGAGGGGTATTTCACATGTCAGCCATGTCAAGACTAAACCAGGACTAAACCAGGTCTAAACCAGGTCTAAACCAGGTCTAAACCAGGTCTAAACCAGGTCTAAAGCCGGACTAAAGCAGGTCTTGTTTACTTGTGACTCTCTTGTTTGAACAGCTGAGTTTTGTGTCTGTGGATTTTCACGTAATTTTAACAAAAGAATTCTCCTGAAGTTTAGAAAAAAAAGTACTTTAAATCAGAAATGATGTAAACAGGAAACAGGAAACTGGATTTGCATTTTCAGCATAAATCCCACAGTCAGAGTGTCTGAGCTAGACCTGCTTTAGTCCTGCTTTAGTCCTGCTTTAGTCCTGCTTTAGTCCTGCTTTAGTCCTGGTTCGGTCCTGGTTCGGTCCTGGTCCGGTCTCGTGCACAGGTTAACTCGGGTGAGCTCGTGTTATTTATGTCGGCTCATTAAAGTCTCCAGGTGAGCGCCCTGTGACGTCACGAGGTCACACACAATCAAAATGAGGAAAACCCGTGCGTGTGCGTGAGCGTGTGCGTGACAGAGCGGGTCTAAAGTTCCTCTTTTCTCCACGCGCACAATAGAACCGGGTCACAGGGAGAGACGAGCCCCGCGGGACTAAAACTAACCCAACAAACTCTAACAAACTCTAACAAACTCTAACAAACTCTAACAAACTCTAACAAACTCTAACAAACTCCAACTACCTCCAACTACCCCTGACCCTCCACCCCCGGGCTCCCCTGGGCCGCTCACCCCGCGTGGATGAAGCTTTAGTGCGGGGGGAAAGTGCGTGTGAACGTGGAAAGACCCAGGACCGGACCGGAGCTGCGCCAGCGGAGCCCCGGGTCCGTGTGTCCGGGCGCAGGAGCTCCAGAGGCGGACTTACCTGGAGAAAACCTCCGCTGCTCGGCTTCCACGGAGCTGTGGAGCAGGAGGAGAGCCACGGCGCACAGGAGCCGCGGGGGGAGCATGTCTGCGGCCGGAGAGGAGCGCTCAACGCGGGGCCGTGGGATGTGGAGCTCTGGAGCTGTGGGTCTGTGGAGCTCTGGTCGCGGGCCGTGGGTGTCTGGAGCTCTGGTCGCGGGCCGTGGGTCTCCGCGCTCGGGCCGTGGGTGTCTGGAGCTCTGGTCGCGGGCCGTGGGTCTGGGCCTGGTCTCCGCGCTCGGGCCGTGGGTGTCTGGAGCTCTGGTCGCGGGCCGTGGGTCTCCTCGCTCGGTCTGCATCAGCTGCTCTGCGCTGCCAACTCCGAGACTCTCGCGATGTCCTCCGCCACGCGCCAGTCCCGCCTCTGAGAGAGAAAGGACCAATCAGAGGCGTGACTGAGCCGAGGGACAGCGGCCGCGGCCAATAGGAGCAGGGCAGCGGGAGCAGGAGCGGCTGTGATTGGTGCTCGGGGCTCCGGGTTTTCCGTAGCCTCGGGCCGCCGCAGAAAGTTCGTGAAAAGGGGAAAGTGAAGCGGCGCTGCCACGTCGTAAACATTCCACCCGGGAGGCCGAGGTGTGACCCCCCCCAAAACACACACACCGGGACCCGCGACCCCCGACCCCGGCTACAAAGAGGCACGTGCGGGACAGCGCGGTGGTCCCATGGGTGCAGCAGCTCCTGTGGGTGCTGGGTCTATAGGTGCTGGTCCTGGTTCTACAGGTGCTGGTTCTATAGGTGCAGGTTCTATAGGTGCAGGTTCTGTAGGTGCTGGTTCTATAGGTGCTGGTTCTATAGGTGCTGGTTCTATAGGTGCAGGTTCTGGAGGTGCTGGTTCTATAGGTGCTGGTTCTATTGGTGCTGGTTCTGTAGGTGCAGGTTCTATAGGTGTAGGTTCTGTAGGTGCTGGTTCTATAGGTGCTGGTTCTATAGGTGCTGGTCCTGGTTCTATAGGTGCTGGTTCTATAGGTGTAGGTTCTATAGGTGCTGGTTCTATAGGTGTAGGTTCTATGGGTGCTGGTTCTGTGGGTGCTGGTTCTATAGGTGCTGGTTCTATAGGTGCTGGTTCTGTGGGTGCTGGTCTATAGGTGCTGGTTCTGTGGGTGCAGGTTCTATAGGTGCTGGTTCTATAGGTGCTGGTTCTGTGGGTGCTGGTTCTGTGGGTGCAGGTTCTGTGGGTGCTGGTTCTATAGGTGTAGGTTCTATAGGTGCTGGTTCTGTGGGTGCTGTTCTATAGGTGTAGGTTCTATAGGTGCTGGTCTATAGGTGTAGGTTCTGTGGGTGCTGGGTCTATAGGTGTTGGTTCTATAGGTGCTGGTTCTATAGGTGCAGGTTCTGTAGGTGCTGGTTCTGTGGGTGCTGGGTCTAGGCTGGTTCTATAGGTGCTGGTTCTATAGGTGCTGGTTCTATAGGTGTAGGTTCTACAGGTGCTGGTTCTGTGGGTGCTGGTTCTATAGGTGCTGGTTCTGTGGGCCTGAGTTCCATATGTTCTTCAGACAGACCCAGTATATTTTTATATTTGTATATGTTTTTATAAGGAGCCATGTTATTATTTATTTTTTCCCCCAGCCTTTTTATTTTAGCGTTTATCGTTCAGTCCGTTTCATTTGATGTAAAAAACTTGACACCGATTCTAATAAACAGCTGACTCATGAAATACACCACTGTCTATTTTATTTATTAATTAATTAAATTATTTATTTATTTATTATTGTTTTACTATTTACTGTATATTTGAATGTATTGTATTCATTAAATTTTATTTATTATTATTTTACATTATTTACATTTTATTTATTGATTTGCGTCTCCTGCGTGTCTCTGACGTCACGGGCTCTCGTCGCCATGGAGACACGCACGCAGATCCTCCGCAGGTTTGGACACAGTACGGGACTTTATGGGTTTATGTAGTTTGAACTTCCAGACTTGTTATTTATGTTATTTATCTTTTCTTTTTTAGAGGAAAACTGTAAAAAACGAGCCCAAAGTGACGCAGAATAATCGGTAAAGTGAATGTTCGGTGTGTTTTGTGTTTAAACCGTTTCCCGCCTTTGGAAAACGAGCTAAAGCTAAAATACGTTAGCAACTTTTATAGAACTTTTATAGACTTTTTATAGACCTGGTTTAGTCCTGGTTTAGTCCTGGTTTAGACCTGGTTTAGTCCTGGTTTAGTTCTGGTTTAGACCTGGTTTAGTTCTGGTTTAGACCTGGTTTAGTTCTGGTTTAGACCTGGTTTAGTCCTGGTTTAGACCTGGTTTAGTCCTGGTTTAGTTCTGGTTTAGACCTGGTTTAGACCTGGTTTAGTTCTGGTTTAGACCTGGTTTAGTCCTGGTTTAGTCCTGGTTTAGTTCTGGTTTAGACCTGGTTCAGTCCTGGTTTAGTCCTAGTTTAGTTCTGGTTTAGACCTGGTTTAGTCCTGGTTTAGTTCTGATTTAGTCCTGGTTTAGTCCTAGTTCAGTTCTGGTTTAGTTCTGACTTAGTCCTGGTTTAGTTCTGATTTAGTCCTGGTTTAGTCCTGGTTTAGACCTGGTTTAGTCCTGGTTTAGTTCTGGTTTAGTCCTGGTTTAGTTCTGATTTAGTCCTGATTTAGTCCTGGTTTAGTTCTGGTTTAGTTCTGGTTTAGTCCTGGTTTAGTTCTGATTTAGTCCTGATTTAGTCCTGGTTTAGACCTGGTTTAGTCCTGGTTTAGTTCTGATTTAGTCCTGGTTTAGTCCTGGTTAAGTTCTGGTTTAGTTCTGATTTAGTCCTGGTTTAGTCCTGGTTAAGTTCTGGTTTAGTTCTGATTTGGTTCTGATTTAGTCCTGGTTTAGTCCTGGTTTAGTTCTGATTTAATCCTGGTTTAGTTCTGGTTTAGTCCTGGTTTAGTTCTGGTTTAGTCCTGGTTTAGTCCTGGTTTAGTCCTGGTTTAGACCTGGTTTAGTCCTGGTTTAGTCCTGGTTTAGTCCTGGTTTAGTTCTGATTTAGTCCTGGTTTAGTCCTGGTTTAGACCTGGTTTAGTCCTGGTTTAGTTCTGATTTAATCCTGGTTTAGTTCTGGTTTAGTCCTGGTTTAGTCCTGGTTTAGTTCTGATTTAGTCCTGGTTTAGTTCTGGTTTAGTCCTGGTTTAGTTCTGATTTAGTCCTGGTTTAGTTCTGATTTAGTCCTGATTTAGTCCTGGTTTAGTTCTGGTTTAGTCCTGGTATAGTTCTGATTTAGTCCTGATTTAGTCCTGGTTTAGTTCTGATTTAGTCCTGGTTTAGTTCTGATTTAGTCCTGATTTAGTCCTGGTTTAGTTCTGGTTTAGTTCTGGTTTAGTCCTGGTTTAGATCTGATTTAGTCCTGGTTTAGTCCTGGTTTAGTTCTGATTTAGTCCTGGTTTAGTTCTGGTTTAGTTCTGATTTAGTCCTGGTTTAGTCCTGGTTTAGTTCTGGTTTAGTCCTGGTTTAGTTCTGATTTAGTCCTGGTTTAGTCCTGGTTTAGACCTGGTTTAGTCCTGGTTTAGTTCTGATTTAGTCCTGGTTTAGTTCTGGTTTAGTTCTGATTTAGTCCTGGTTTAGTTTTTCTGGTTTAGTCTGGTTTAGTTCTGTTTTAGTTCTGATTTAGTCCTGGTTTAGTCCTGGTTTAGTCCTGGTTTAGTCCTGGTTTAGTTCTGATTTATTTAGTCCTGGTTTAGTCCTGGTTTAGTTCTGATTTAGTCCTGGTTTAGTCCTGGTTTAGTTCTGATTTAGTCCTGGTTTAGTCCTGGTTTAGTCCTGGTTTAGTTTCTGATTTATTTAGTTCTGATTTAGTCCTGGTTTAGTCCTGGTTTAGTCCTGGTTTAGTTCTGGTTTAGTCCTGGTTTAGACCTGGTTTAGTCCTGGTTTAGTTCTGATTTAGTCCTGGTCTTCAGGTGGGATGAGTCGGCCGAGGTTCTTCACTCCGTCTGAAGTCTCCGCCCACAACACGAGCGACGACCTGTGGGTCTGTGTGCTGGGCCGAGTCCTGGACCTGAGCGCCCTGGCCCAACGGCACAAAGGTACGACTCCTGCCCAACGGCACAAAGGTACGACTCCTGCCCGACGGCACAAAGGTACGACTCCTGCCCGACGGCACAAAGGTACGACACCTGCCCGACGGCACAAAGGTACGACTCCTGCCCGACGGCACAAAGGTACGACTCCTGCCCGACGGCACAAAGGTACGACTCCTGCCCAACGGCACAAAGGTACGACTCCTGCCCAAAGGTACGACTCCTGCCCAACGGCACAAAGGTACGACTCCTGCCCAAAGGTACGACTCCTGCCCGACGGCACAAAGGTACGACTCCTGCCCAACGGCACAAAGGTACGACTCCTGCCCAACGGCACAAAGGTACGACTCCTGCCCGACGGCACAAAGGTACGACTCCTGCCCTGCTGTTTTCTGCTCAGATTTACTCCAGGTCATGTGTTGTAGTTTTACCTCAGGTCATGTGTTGTAGTTTTACCTCAGGTCATGTGTTGTAGTTTTACCTCAGGTCATGTGTTGTAGTTTTACCTCAGGTCATGTGTTGTTTCTCAGGTGATGCTCTGCTGCTCCCCCTGCTGGAAAACGCCGGGAAAGACATCAGCAACTGGTTCAACCCCGACACCAAAGACGTGAGATCAACCAGAACTAAACCAGGACTAAACCAGAACTAAACCAGGACTAAACCAGAACTAAACCAGGACTAAACCAGGACTAAACCAGAAACTAAACCAGGACAAACCAGATAAACCAACTAAACCAGGACTAACAGGACAAACCAGGACTAAACCAGGACTAAACCAGAACTAAACCAGAACTAAACCAGGAACTAAACCAGGACTAAACCAGGACTAAACCAGAACTAAACCAACTAAACCAGGACTAAACCAGAACTAAACAGGTAAACCAGGACTAAACCAGGACTAAACCAGAACTAAACCAGACTAAACCATGACTAAACCAGGACTAAACCAGAACTAAACCAGAACTAAACCAGGACTAAACCAGGACTAAACCAAAACTAAACCAGGACTAAACCAGAACTAAACCAGAACTAAACCAGGACTAAACCAGGACTAAACCAGAACTAAACCAGGACTAAACAGGACTAAACCCTAAACCTAAACCAGGTAAACAGACTAAACCAGGACTAAACCAGGACTAAACCAGTTAAACCAGAACTAAACCAGACTAAACCAGGATTAAACCAGGACTAAACCAGGACTAAACCAGAACTAAACCAGGACTAAACCAGAACTAAACCAGGACTAAACCAGGATTAAAACAGGACTAAACCAGGACTAAACCAGGACTAAACCAGAACTAAACCAGGACCAAACCAGGACTAAACCAGGACTAAACCAGGACTAAACCAGAACTAAACCAGGACTAAACCAGGACTAAACCAGGACTGAACCAGGACTAAACCAGGACTAAACCAGGACCAAACAAGGACCGAATCAGGTCTAAACCAGGTCTGAACCAGTTGTATTTGAGTGTTGGCTCGTGTTGTGCAGGTGCGGCGCTTCGTTGACCCTGTGACCCAGTGCCAGCGTTACTTCACCCCCAGGGGGCGCTTCCTGCACGTGCCCCCCCCAGGGCCCCGCTCAGACTGGGCCTGTGACCTCAGCCCCCCCTGGTGGACAGACCCCCGCTACTACATCGGTCTGCTGTCCCACAAAACCCGCTGGATCAGAGTCATCAACACACTGACCGCACAGGAGCACAGACTGGAGGTAAAACCAGGACTAAACCAGGTCTAGACCAGGTCTAGACCAGGTCTAAACCAGGACTAAACCAGGTCTAGACCAGGACTAAACCAGGTCTAACCAGGTCTAGACCAGGTCTAAACCAGGACTAAACCAGGTCTAGACCAGGTCTAGACCAGGACTAAACCAGGACTAAACCAGGTACTGGACCAGGTCTAAACCAGGACTAAACCAGGTCTAAACCAGGACTAAACCAGGTCTAAACCAGGTACTGGACCAGGTCTAAACCAGGACTAAACCAGGTCTAAACCAGGACTAACCAGGACTAAACCAGGTACTGGACCAGGTCAAACCAGGGACCAGGCTAAACCAGGACTAAACCAACCAGGTTTAAACCAGGTCTAAACCAGGACTAAACCAGGTCTAAACCAGGTCTAAACCAGGTCTAAACCAGGACTAAAAGAGGACTAAACCAAGTCTAACCAGAACTAAACCAGGAACTAAACCAGAACTAAACCAGGTCTAAACCAGGACTACAACCAGGTCTAAACCAGACTAAACCAGGACTAAACCAGGACTAAACCAGGACTAAACCAGGTCTAAACCAGGCAGGACTAAACCAGGACTAAACCAGGTCTAAACCAGGACTAAACCAGGACTAAACCAGGGTCTAAACCAGGTCTAAACCAGGACTAAACCAGGACTAAACCAGGTCTAAACCAGGACTAAACCAGGACTAAACCAGTCTAAACCAGGACTAAACCAAACCAGGTCTAAACCAGGTCTAAACCAGGTCTAAACCAGGCTAACCTGGTCTGGACCAGTCTAACCAGGACTAAACAACTACCAGGCTAACCAGGAGGTCTAAACCAGGTAAACCAGGACTAAACCAGGTCTAAACCAGGTTTAAACCAGGACTAAACCAGGTCTAAACCAGGTCTAAACCAGGACTAAACCAGGACTAAACCAGGACTAAACCAGGTCTAAACCAGGTAAACCAGGACTAAACCAGGACTAAACCAGGTCTAAAACCAGGTTTAAACCAGGACTAAACCAGGTCTAGACCAGGTCTAACCAGGACTAAACCAGGACTAAACCAGGTCTAAACCAGGTTTTAAACCAGGACTAAACCAGGTCTAACCAGGTCTAAACCAGGAGGACTAAACCAGGTACTAAACCAGGACTAAACCAGGACTAACCAGGTACTGGACCAGGTCTAAACCTAAAGGTCTAAACCAGGACTAAAACAGGACTAAACCAGGTTTAAACCAGGACTAAACAAGGTCTAAACCAGGACTAAACCAGGACTAAACAAGGTCTAAACCAGGACTAAACCAGGACTAAACCAGGTCTAGACCAGGACTAAACCAGGACTAAACCAGGTCTAGACCAGGTCTAAACCAGGACTAAACCAGGACTAAAAGAGGACTAAACCAGGTCTAAACCAGGACTAAACAAGGTCTAAACCAGGACTAAACCAGGACTAAACCAGGTCTAGACCAGGACTAAACCAGGTCTAAACCAGGTTTAAACCAGGACTAAACCAGGTCTAAACCAGGTCTAGACCAGGACTAAACCAGGACTAAACCAGGTCTAAACCAGGTCTAAACCAGGACTAAACCAGGTCTAGACCAGGACTAAACCAGGTTTAAACCAGGACTAACCAGGTCTAGACCAGGACTAAACCAGGACTAAACCAGGTCTAAACCAGGATAAACCAGGACTAAACCAGGTCTAAACCAGGTCTAACCAGGTTTTAAACCAGGTTTAAACCAGGACTAAACCAGGTCTAAACCAGACCAGGACTAAACCAGGACTAAACCAGGACTAAACCAGGTCTAAAACTAACCAGGACTAAACCAGGACTAAACCAGGACTAAAACCAGGTCTAAACCAGGTCTAAACCAGGTCTAAACCAGGACTAAACCAGGTCTAGACCAGGATTAAACCAGGTTTAAACCAGGTCTAGACCAGGACTAAACCAGGTATAAACCAGGACTAAACCAGGTCTAGACCAGGACTAAACCAGGACTAAACCAGGACTAAACCAGGACTAAACCAGGTCTAAACCAGGACTAAACCAGGACTAAACCAGGTCTAAACCAGGACTAAACCAGGTCTAAACCAGGACTAAACCAGGACTAAACCAGGTCTAAACAGGACCAGGTTTAAAACCAGGTTTAAACCAGGTCTAGACCAGGACTAAACCAGGTTTAAACCGGACTAAACCAGGTCTAACCAGGACTAAACCAGACTAAACCAGGACTAAACCAGAACTAAACCAGACTAAACCAGGACTAAACCAGGACTAAACCAGTCTAGACCAGGACTAAACCAGGTCTAAACCAGGACTAAACCAGGACTAAACCAGGTCTAAACCAGGACTAAACCAGGTCTAAACCAGGTCTAAACCAGGTCTAAACCAGGTCTAAACCAGGAACTAAACCAGGACTAAACCAGGACTAAACCAGGACTAAACCAGGACTAAACCAGGTCTAAAACCAGGACTAAACCAGGTTCTAAACCAGGACTAAACCAGGACTAAAACCAGGTCTAAACCAGGACTAAACCAGGTCTAAACCAGGACTAAACCAGGTCTAAACCAGGTCTAAACCAGGACTAAACCAGGACTAAACCAGGACTAAACCAGGTCTAAACCAGTCTAAACCAGGACTAAACCAGGACTAAACCAGGTCTAAACCAGGACTAAACCAGGGACTAAACCAGGTCTAAACCAGGACTAAACCAGGACTAAACCAGGACTAAACCAGGACTAAACCAGGACTAAACCAGGACTAAACCAGGACTAAACCAGGACTAAACCAGGACTATCTCAGGTCTAAATCCGGTCTCTGGGGCAGGTGTGCAGTGAGGAGACCCTGGAGGAGATCTTGGGTCGGTACCTGTCGTACAATAGCCACGCCCACAGTTACACCTGGAAACACGCAGGTGCGCGGCCCTGGACATGCGGCGCACGCTGGAGGAGAACGGTCTCCGCGACGACGACCTCGAGCTGGACCACCTCGGACTGGACCGTGACCTCTTTAGCCCCGCCCTCCTGCTGCACTTCAACGACGACCTGACAGACGCCTGACCCCAGCACCTGTCGTCTGGAACAGGTCCAATAAACACTCAGGTGCACCTGATGATGTCACTGTGTGTCCCATCACATCACAACGTCTTACACACACACACACACAGACACACACACACACACACACACATACATACACACAGACACACACACACACTTGTGTTGTGATACTGTGAGCTCTCGGTTCTTGTCACTCAGAGAAATGATCAGGTTCAACATTTGTTAATTTACCTTTAGATATTTCATGACAAAGTACAACGTGATAAACTCCCCAGATTCCTGATGAGGACGAAGAGGAGCAGACAGGAGCAGACAGGAGCAGACAGGTGCAGACAGGTGCAGACAGGTGCAGACTATTCAAAAATCCAAACCACATAAAAAGTAAAAGGAGTTGTGAGTGTTGCCGTGGGTGTGGAGGGCGGTGACATGAATGTGATGTCCAGATACTTGTGAGTTTGATCTGTTCCACTGTCACGTGTGTAACTGCGGCTGAATCCAGGAGAGGGCGCCAACACCAACAGAGTTATTTGTTTTTTATCAAGTGACATCAAAATAAAATACAAAAAAAACACAGACTTCACTGGTTTAATAAATCTTTATTTAATATCTCTGTGAAAATGTAACACTGGCTCCGGACAGACAGGGGCGCTCACGGGACACCTGAGAAAACTTTGGCACAGGAGTTACAATAAAGTACCACAAAGAACCGTAAGATGGCGCTAGGAGGCCCCAGTGTAACAGAAGCCACAAACCCAAACCTATAAATATGAAGTCAGAAGTCGCCAGTCGACGGAAACGCGCTTCAACCAGAGGAAGTACTGTTATTATATTAAATCATTATTCTACAACGGGACTTTTCAGAGCTGCTAACTGTAACAGAGGAGTTTCTTCTCATTGACCTTATTAACAGGAATCTTTAATCTCAAATTTTCAAAATGCCATTTTAAAGATCTACCCCCGTTCCCACTGTGACGTCCGCTCTTCCTTCTCCAGTTTGATGTTCTTCATGGGTGATTCTCGTAGGACTGGGCGGCGCTTTGAGATTTCAAATGTCCAAATTAGAACAGAACGATCCACGGGAGTCAGATCAGAACTACAGAGAAACACGAGCACTGTAGGCCTGATCTAACTACACACGTTTACAAGATTAGGAACTACACCTTTATGGGGCCATGTTGGAGGGTTTATGTGGTCAGGGGTTGTCGTACAGGCAGACGTCGGGGGCACGTCGGGGGCAGACGTCAGGGGGCAGACGTCGGGGGGCAGACGAGGAGATGTGGAGGACTGGTGGTGATGAGGATTCTGAGGTCAGTAACCTGCTTCGGTCAGGTACTTGCCCATTTTGCACACGTCTAAGGCCACTGCTCCGCCCTGAGCGTCCGGCGAACCGATGCCAACCACAAGCGCTGCAGAGAACAACAACTGGGTTAGTCTTGGTTTAGTCCTGGTCTCTTCCTAGTTCAGTCCTTGTACCTTTGTTGGTCTTTTAGATGGTGGGGTTGCTGGTCTAGTCCTAGTTTTGTCCAAGTTTTTGTCAGAGATTGGTCCTAGTTTGGTCCTTGTTTGTTTCCTAGTCTGGTCCTAGTCTGATCCTTGTTTGGGCCTCGTACATTTGTTGGTCTTGTAGACGGTGGGGTTGCTGGTCTAGTTTTGCTCTAGTCCTAGTTTGGTCATCGTCTGGTCGTCGTCTGGTCATCGCCTGGTTGTGGTTTGGTCGTCGTCTGGTCGTCGTCTGGTCGTCGTCTGGTCGTGGTTTGGTCATCGTCTGGTTGTCGTTTTGTCGTCTGGTGTCGTCTGGTCGTCGTCTGGTCTCGTTGGTTGTCGTCTGGTTGTCGTCTGTTGTCGTCTGGTTGATTCGTCGTCTGGTCGTGGTTTGGTCATCGTCTGGTTGTCGTCTGGTCGTCGTCTGGTCATCGTCTGGTTGTCGTCTGGTTGTCGTCTGGTCGTCGTCTGGTTGTCGTCTGATTGTCGTCTGGTCGTGGTTTGGTCATCGTCTGGTTGTCGTTTGGTTGTCGTTTGGTTGTCGTCTGGTTGTCGTCTGGTCGTCGTTTGGTATCGTCTGTTGTCGTCTGGTTGTCATCTGGTCATCGTCTGGTTGTCGTCTGGTTGTCGTTTGGTCGTCGTCTGGTTGTCGTCTGGTCGTGGTTTGGTCATCGTCTGGTTGTCGTTTGGTTGTCATCTGGTCATCGTCTGGTTGTCGTCTGGTCGTGGTTTGGTCATCGTCTGGTTGTCGTTTGGTTGTCGTCTGGTCGTGGTTTGGTCTCGTCTGGTCATCGTCTGGTCGTCGTCTGGTTGTCGTCTGGTTGTCGTGGTTGTCGTCTGGTCGTCGTCTGGTCGTGGTTTGGTCATCGTCTGGTTGTCGTTTGGTTGTCGTCTGGTCATCGTCTGGTTGTCGTCTGGTTGTCGTCTGGTTGTCGTCTGGTCATCGTCTGGTTGTCGTCTGGTCGTGGTTTGGTCATCGTCTGGTCGTCGTCTGGTCGTCGTCTGGTTGTCGTTTGGTTGTCGTCTGGTCGTCGTCTGGTCGTCGTCTGGTCGTCGTCTGGTCGTCGTCTGGTCGTCGTCTGGGTCGTCGACTGGTCGTCGTCTGGTCTGGTCGTCTGGTCGTGGTCTGGTCGTGGTCTGGTCGTGGTCTGGTCGTGGTCTGGTCGTGGTCTGGTCGTGGTTTGGTCGTGGTCTGGTCGTGGTCTGGTCGTGGTCTGGTCGTGGTTTGGTCGTGGTCTGGTCGTGGTGTGGTCGTGGTCTGGTCGTGGTCTGGTCGTGGTTTGGTCGTGGTCTGGTCGTGGTCGTGGTCTGTCGTGGTCTGGTCGTGGGTGGTTGGTCGTGGTCTGGTCGTGGTCTGGTCGTGGTTTGGTCGTGGTCTGGTCGTGGTCTGGTCGTGGTCTGGTCGTGGTCTGGTCGTGGTCTGGTCGTGGTCTGGTCGTGGTCTGGTCGTGGTCTGGTTGTCGTACTCTGCTTGGTCTTGTAGACGGTGGCGTTGCAGGTCTTGCCGCTCTCGTCCTTGATGCTCTTGAGGTTCATGTGGGGTTCGTTGGGGTCGTCCATTTCATGACGCAAAACATGAAACTTCCTTCCGCTGAGTTTCACTCCGCGCTGATACAAGTCGTTACGGGTCCCATTCAGACCCTTCAGCTCCTCCGGCTACGAACACACACATGTAGTCAGAACACACACACGTACAATCAGAACACACACACGTACAATCAGAACACACACACGTACAATCAGAACACACACACACGTACAATCAGAACACACACACGTACAATCAGAACACACACACAACACACACACAATCACACAAACACACACGTACAATCAGAACACACACACACATCGAACACACACACGTACAAATCAGAAACACACACACGTACAGTCAGAACACACACACACGTACAGTCAGAACACACACACGTACAGTCAGAACACACACACGTACAATCAGAACACACACACACGTACAATCAGAACACACACACGTACAATCAGAACACACACACGTACAATCAGAACACACACATGTACAGTCAGAACACACACATGTACAATCAGAACACACACACGTACAGTCAGAACACACACACGTACAGTCAGAACACACACACACGTACAGTCAGAACACACACACGTACAATCAGAACACACACTAATGTACAGTCAGAACACACACACACGTACAATCAGAACACACACACACGTACAGTCAGAACACACACACGTACAGTCAGAACACACACACGTACAGTCAGAACACACACACGTACAGTCAAAACACACACACGTACAGTCAGAACACACACACGTACAATCAGAACACACACACACGTACAATCAGAACACACACACACGTACAATCAGAACACACACTAATGTACAGTCAGAACACACACACACGTACAATCAGAACACACACACGTACAATCAGAACACACACACACGTACAATCAGAACACACACACACACGTACAGTCAGAACACACACATGTACAGTCAGAACACACACACGTACAATCAGAACACACACACACGTACAGTCAGAACACACACACGTACAGTCAGAACAGACACACACACACGTACAGTCAGAACACACACACGTACAGTCAGAACACACACACGTACAGTCAGAACACACACACGTACAGTCAGAACACACACACGTACAATCAGAACACACACACACGTACAGTCAGAACACACACTAATGTACAGTCAGAACACACACACACGTACAGTCAGAACACACACACACACGTACAGTCAGAACACACACACGTAGTCAGAACACACACACTAATGTACAATCAGAACACACACACGTACAGTCAGAACACACACACGTAGTCAGAACACACACTAATGTACAATCAGAACACACACACTAATGTACAGTCAGAACACACACACATACACACAGGACGTACAGGGCACATGGGCACCAGTAGTAGTAGTAGTAGTAGTAGTAGTAGTAGTAGTAGTAGTAGTAGCTGTAGAGTAAAAGTGTTAAACTCACAGTGGGGGTGAAGTTGGCGTTCTTGGCCCACACTGTTCCATCATGGCTGCAGATGACCGCGTCCGTAATCAGTTTGCTGTGCTGAAGGTTTGTAATGTACGCGTCCCACGACATCCTGCAACAGGGTCAGACACGGGTCAGAAACAGGGTCAGAAACAGGGTCAGAAACAGGGTCAGAAACAGGGTCAGAACAGGGTCAGA